TTGTAAATAAAAAACCAAAAAAAAAAATTTTAAAATTTTCCAAAAAAAAAAAAAAAAAAAAAAAAAAAAAAAAAAAAAAAAAATGAAAAAACGAAAACCAATTTCAAAACACAGAATTTGGGTCATGAAAGAAGGAAAAAAAATAATGAACACAAACAGATTGTTCCAGAAACAACACCAACAACACAAACACTATGTACATGAAAATAATTGATCGATGATTATGATTATGATTATGATGATGATGATCAAAACCAAGAAAAGAAGAATTTTTTTTCTAAATGAAAACAACTTTTTGTTTTTCATTATGAATTTGACAAAAGATAATAAAGAATTTGACAATGAATTTTTTTCAATTTTTGTTTACTTTTTAATCGATTATTTTTTATTTTTCATTTTCAATTTGATGAGATAATCCAAGAACGAAAAAGAAAAAAAATCAAAATTACATAAAAGATTAATGATAATGTTGTTGTTGTTGATGATGTTGATGATAAAATTTTTAAAAATCACAATTTTAATTTATTAATTTATATTTAGAAAAAAAAAATTACAACAACAACGACGACACAGACAAACAAAAGTGTATGTGTGACATTTCATCTGACATCCAAAAACCAAGAATCGATCCAAAATATTATTGTTGTGACAAAGTTTACTAACAAAAAAAAAGACCAAATGTTGTTGTTGTTTATTATTATTGTGTGTTTCACTATTTGAATCTATTATGAGATATACACTGTTATAATAATAATAATTAGAAATAAAATCATCATATCATTGTGTAAAAAGAAAAGAAAAGAAGAAAATTACATTATTAGTGAGTTAGAGAGAGAGTGGGGATAAAAGAGATAAAAGATGTGTTTGGTGGTAATGGTCGTCCAAATAGTTGATGTCCAAAGGTCCATTGGATTTTTCTGGTAATCATCATCATCATCATTTGAGGGAAAAAATTCATCACTAGCTGATAAGACTAGTTGTATATCATCATCATCATCATCATCATCACCAAATACATCAAAATAATTCATTCTTTTTTTTGTTTGTCCAAATTTCAAATTGTTGAATAAGGAAAATTTTATTCAATTTCATGTTCTTTTGAACCTGTTGCTGGTTGTTTAATTGTTCAAGTGTTCAAGTGTATCTTTTGATTTGACATAATATTTATTTTCAAAAAAAAAACAAGAAAAGAAAAGAAATTATTACATAATGATTTTGAATAAAATGATTGAAAAAAAATCTAGCTAAACAGAAAAAAAATCAAAGTTATAATAATTGAAATATATCATTCGTGTATTTATAGATTCATTGTTGTTGTTGGTTGGTTGGTTGTCCTTAGAGATTTTCGTGTGAATTTCACAAATAAACATCCGGGTGATATTTTAAGAATATTTTCCTCTTTGTTTGTCATATTTTCGGTATTGTTTCATTTTAGTGTTTGAAATTTGAATCAAAACAATCAGCATTTGAAGAATGATGAGAAGAAGAAGAAAATTTGAAAGATCGATGCAAATGATGAAGAACAGAAGAAGAAGAAAAAAAATATCACAAATAATCGATAGTTTCGTCATAAACTAAAAAAAAAGAAAATTCTTGAATTTGATTTTTTCATAGAAAATTTCCTTTTCCACCTTCTTACATTCTCAGGAATTTCAAACAAAAAAATTAAAAATTCTAGAAAAATGAATGAATGAATGAATTTCTAGTTTTTATCATTCGCCAATATTTTGTTTTGACAATTCTGTTGTGTGTGTGTGTGTGTGGGAGCCAAATAAACAAACATTTGGAGAGGGAGAAAAAAAAACAGAAAAATTCAAATATTTTTTTTTGTTTGTTACATAATGAAAAATTCATCAATGTTTTTTTTTCTGATGCTTTCCCTGAATGTTTGAAAATGAAATTTTTATATCAATCAAACAAACACACACAAACAAACAAACAAACAAACAAACATTGATTTCGAGTATTCAATTCAGGTCTATAGAATCATCATCATCATCGATGAAAAATGACAAAAAAGAATTTCAAATTTATAGGTGTTTTCGGTGCATCTGATGTTGTTGCTGTTGCCATTTTAAATTTACAAATATCAACGATGATAATGATGATGATGATGATAATGATTTTTTATGTTTTTTATTCGTCTGTTGTTGTTGTTGTTGGATGATGATGATGTTGTTGTCGCTGGTAGACAAGACCAAAAAAAATTAATGAAATATTTATAATTTGAGATGCTATAGGTAATCTATATGTCGATGATGATGATAATTGATTGATGGATTCCAAAAAAAAAAAGAAAAGAAAAATTATTGAAATTGAGATGCTGCATTGATGTATTTCAGTTGATGACGTTGATGATGATGATGATGATGATGATGAGACAAGAATTTTGATTCTGTCAATTCTTAAACAGTGTTTATCACTAATAAATGTCGATGAAAATTCTATTGTTTTTTGTTTGTTTGTTTTTTGGTTTCTCGGAAAATTTGTTTTCTGTTTTTTTCCCTTTTTAAATTCAATCGATCGATAATGAAACAAAGCTATCACAAGTGTTGTTGATGGTGGTAATTTTGTTGATTGATTTTTCAGCCATATTAATTCAATAACAACAACAAAAAAAAAGTGTGGATCGTTTCAAAGTGGTCATCAACATTTTAAAAAAGAATTTTGGTTTGTTTTTGTTTTTAAATTGGCAGTTTTACGTTAGATTTAGTGTGTAATCATTTTAAATATGGTAAATCAATTGATTTCAAAAAAAAAATCGGTGAATTTTTTTAAATAAATTTAGATAATTTTTTTTTGTGTAAGGTGTGAAAGCAAAACAAAGAAAAAAAAATTGAAAGAATTTGTGTGAATTACAAGTGTAAACGACTAGTATCATTTTTTTTTTGGAAATATTTTTTGTTTTGTTTAGAAATTGCGTGATATAATTTGGTTTAATGTGTGTGTCAATGTTTGTTTTTCTTTTTTTTTCAATTCTTTATGTCGATGATGATGATGATGACGATGAAATGATGTGTGCGCAAATGAAGAAAAAAAAACTTGTCCGTCGTTACATAACTTTACGTTTTTTTCATTGATGTTGTTGTTGCTAAAAAAATGATCCATTTTTTCATTCATTTCCAATTTCCAAATATTCGATCCATCAAAGAATCATCACATTCAATCACAATTATTGATGATTTGAAACGAAATATAACGATAAGATGCAACAAAATGAACAAAAAAAAAGATGGAAATGAGATTCATTCATTGTCGTCATATGAAGAAAGTATGAAGAAAATTATGATGTTTGTCGTCATTGTTCAACGATTATATGAACGTCCAATTAATGATAAAAATAGGTCATTCGATAATGCTCGTACATCTGAACTACTATTATTAACAACGGATAAACCATCTTTATCTTTTCCGTTCAACATTTTTCCATTAACAACAACACCTGAATTTGTTGTTATAGCATCTTTACGTGTTGTTGACCATATTGATGATTCTTTTGTTTGTGAAACACCACCATTACCACCATTACCATTTGTTTGACCACCAACACCAAGACTATTTGTTGTTGATTTATAATATTTACTAAATGCATTTGTATTATCTGATTTTTGATCCGGACTACTTGGATCCCAAATTCTTGCCAAAAATGTACCACCATTATTCGTACAGCCATTATTATTTGTATGATTACCAATATCATTTGTAACTGTTGTTGTTGTTGTTGGAACATTATTTGTATCATTTGTATTATAACGTTGACTATAGGAATTGATGGCTGCTGCTGCTGCTGTTGGTGGTGGTGGATGAAGTCCATTGCCATTTTGTTGTGTAGCTGATGTAGCAGTTGTTGATGATGCGGCTGATGTACCATTTATTTGATTAATCTGTAATGAAGAATGATGATGTACAGGTGATGTTTCACTAACACTATTAGCAGCATTTTCACCACCATTTTGTGGAAGACGAGGTAAACGTCGTCTAGTAAGCCATGAATGACGTAATGCTGCATATGGTGTCATACGTGTATGTGGATCCCAATCCAAACATTTTTTAATAAAATCAACAAAACATTCATCTTCACAGCCTTTTAATGCAACTGACCAGCTTTTTGTGCCAGGTGGACCACGCATTTTACCACGTGGTGTACGACTTCCTTCGATCAATACCGAACCATCTGAAAGAACTTTGGTATAACAATAACGTGGATAGCCTTTTGAATTGAAAAATATTTTGGCTCTTTTTGAAACATCAATTAATTTTTGTGGTGGCATGCCCAATAATTCAATTATACATGATAATTGATCATTTTCATTTTCACCCGGTAATAATGGATAACCAGTTGCTAATTCGGCCAATATACAACCTAAACTCCACATATCAATTGGCATACCATATGAAGCGCCTAATATAACTTCGGGTGCACGATAAAATCTTGATTGAATATAAGTATAGATACGTTGATGTTCAAAACAAGATGAACCAAAATCAATGACTTTAATACCACTGCGTCCTTGTTGTTTGAGTAGTACGTTTTCTGGTTTGAGATCGCAATGGATAATTTTATTATTATATAAAGCTTCTAAACATCTTAGTATGGAATAAGCAAATCGTCGTATTAATTGTATACTAAAACCTTGAAAATGATTCTTTTTAATAAGCTCATAAAGATTGACACTGAGCAGTTCAAACGTAATGCACATATGATTACGGAATATAAAATGTTCATACATATGTATTATATTCATTGTATTATCTTTATCTTGTTTTTTTAGATGTTGTAATATTCTTATCTCTTCTTGTGCTTGTCGATGGAATCGTTTTTCATTTCGTACAATTTTTAATGCAACATGTTGCTGTGTTTTATGATCATAAACTTTGATCACTTGGCCAAAACTTCCTTTGCCAATTACTTTGAGCATTTCATAACGATAAGCAATATGATCATGTGGAACAAAAATATATGAGCCTTGTTCATCATCATAATCATTATTATTTGCGCCACCAATTATACCCATACGTTTGATGGCATTTGCACCGATAAAATATAATTCAGAATAATTAAATATTTCACGATGTTCATATGGTGTTAATTTATATGAATATAATTTCATCACTTGTTCAGGTGTAACTACCAATGGTTTTGTTTTGTTTGATGATATTTTACAAACACTACTTGTATTACTTGCAGCTGATGATCCATTTTGTGATCCATTAGCTGAACCATTTATCATTGTTTTTGGATCATTTGATGTTTCTTCATTTGATGTTGAACCTGATGATGGACTAGCTTCGGATGTGGCTGCACCACCACTACCGCTTCCAACTGAAGCTCTTGGTAAGCTAACAATATCATTACCATTCTGTTGATCAATATGTTGTTGATATGACCATTTTGTTGTTGATGATGTTGGCGGTTGTTGTTGTTGTTGTTGGTCATGATGTGAATGATGATGATGATGATGATCACCACCACTATTATTATTTGTTGCTGCTGCTGTCATTGTTGTTTGTTGACCAAAACCATTTGTTGATGATAATTTAAAACCTGAAAATGTTGTTGTTTTTGTTATCGGTGGTAATAACATTTGATTACCGGTTGTTAATTGACCATTTAAATTATTACAACTTTTTTCACAACCAATCTGTGGTAAAAATGATTCATTTGGCGTACTGCCATTTATATTTGCAATTAATGAACGTGTACGAGATAGTGGCATTATTGAAAAGAATTATATTATGATTTTTGTTTCTTCTTCAAAATAACAATATTCAATTTTTTTAAAATGAATCTAAAGATTTCTTCTTCGCCGAAAAATATTTTTATCGTTATCGTTATGAGACTATTTTTTTTCTTCAGTTTGTAGGTTACGTTATATTATTATTATTTAATGAATAATCGATATTATAATATCAATAAATTATCCACACAGAAAAAAATTATTATTATTATTGATCTGATGAAATTGAATATATGAATTATTTTCATTTGACAAGAAAACATTATTCTTTCATTGAAATTTCATAGAATTGAATGTTTGAATGTCACGACGTTGTTGTTGTTATTATTAATGTCATAGACGTTGTTTTTATTGTCGTCATTACCATCACGGTATCTTTATCGTTTTTTGCTGTTAACCTAATGAAAAAAATAAGAAGAAAGAAAAAAAATCAATCATTTTGTTTGAAATAAAATCATTCAAATGATAAGAATAAAATATGATTGAATGAATGAATGAATGGAAAAAAACCATTACATCAGACACAATCGTCATCATCAAGAATTGAAAATTGTTCTTATCTTTAACTGAATTTGAAAATTAAAATTTAAAATGATGAAATTTGTAAACTTGAATTTATCATAAAAACATATCTAGATTTTCAATATTTTTTCAATCAATTTTCATTTTGTTACTAATTACATCTTCAATAATCCGGATGATCATCATCATTATGAACATCTTTCTTCTTTTAAATAATTTTTCATTCAGTCAATTAATTACAACAGGTGTGTGTAATGCTGTAATGATATTTGTTTGCTTACATCATTCATTGATTATAAATGATGATGATAGTGATGATGACCTCGAATCTTTGAATTGGTTCAAGATTATTATTATGATTTTTGATCAAGGATAATGAAAATCTGATATTATTATTGCCTGCCTGCTAACTTTTTTAGAAACAAAATTTATAATCAACAACAAACAAAAAAGAGAAACTTTTTTGTTGAAAAAAAAGTGATTAAACCCTATGTGTGTGTGTGTGTGTGTTTGTATATAAACATGGATAAATTTAAATCTTTTTAAAACTTTTGCAAAAAAAAACATAAATACCAGATCATAAATTCAAACGGGTATCAGTAACATCAGTAGTTTAGTTTATATGTCATTCAAATTTGTTATCTTTATCAATAAACATAAAAAAAATGTTTATCGTTTCTGTTTATCATTTCTATCGATGCATGATAGAACGGATAGATAGAGCAGAGCAAATCCTATTCGGATAAAGTTAAATATAGGGGTGATTTAATTAACTAACCGGTCAAGGTAAGCGAAAAATCTAAACTAAAATTGAAACAATTTTTTTTCATTATCAATTTGAAGAAGAAGAAAAAAACAGTAAGAAAATTTCATAAATCTTCAATATTCATCAAAAGTTTTTTCTTTCTTATATTCAATTATCATCTGTGAAAAAAAGGATTATTTCAGGTTTTCACACACACAAACATCTCGCCTATGTTTATTTATCATCCATAAGAATTTTCAATTTAATTTATTATTCAAAACTACGAACAACAACAACAGCAAAAAACTTGTTCAATCAAATGTAAAACAAATGAGAATCACCAATACACACACACACAAAACATACTGATTATATCAGTTATAGAGAGAAAAGAGTTAAAAATATATAGAACAAAAATTAGGATGGTGTTACAAATATATCTATTTGGATTTACCTGAAGAAAAAACAAAAAAAAAAAAAAATCACCGATAGGCCAAAAACAGAGTAAATATATTTTAAGGATCGAAAAGTTTGCTCTCTTTTTTCAACTTTTCATTCTCTCATTCTCTCTATCTCTTTTTCTAAATCTCTTAACGTAACTCACTTGTTTGATCTCTTTTGATGATTAGAACATAAAAACTGAATGATTTTACTAACTTTTTTGGACAACAACAACATCAAGAAAAAAGGTTTGACCTCAATATTCATAATGTATTTATTTAAAAAAAGAAAGAAATGATTCGTCCATCACTAACATCATTAAACAGAAAAATGAAATAACCACATGGCAATAGCCTTAACGAATCAAATTTTCGTATTTCCCCTCCTATCACACCCCACCCCACCCAACAACAACACCATCAGTTTTTTCTTCTTCCACTTCTCTCTTCCCCCCCACACACACAACATTATTCAATAAAAAGCCTTCATGACAAATGCAAATACGCAAAACAAATTCATAATTTTTATCCAAACAAAATAAAAACGGATTGATGAATTTGGTATACAGAGAGACAGATAGATTCATCTTAAAAAGGTAAAAATAAATAGGAAATAATAATAGCTGAAAAGAGCAAAGAAAAAAAATCCTACATCATCATTTGATGTGTAAATTTTTTTTCTGTTTTGTTTCCATTCAAAATGAATTGTATATCCAATCCATCCCCCTCTTCGTATATAATATGAGAAATTGAAAAAAAATGACTAATAATAATATCTATACTGTTTTTGAATACTGAATATATTTATTGTATTAAGCATGACATGACATGACAGATCTGAACATACACACAATCTAACCGAATAAAATGATACGTTTGTAAAACGTTTTCGACTATAAATGATATATCAGGTAGATGATGATGATTTGGTTAATAACCCTCTTTCACATAGACAGACAGACATAGAGAAAATAGATTGTCCATTGTAGATGCCATTGACCTATCATTAGTTATGGTAAATCATCATCATAATGTTTTTGTTTGTTTGTAAAAACTCTTTAAAATCAATCAAAAATAATTAATAATTTAATTTAATTTTAAAAAGATAAATAATAAAAAAAACACAGTAATTACAATTTTCTTCTGTTTTGGTTTTGAAGAAAAAAAATCGCTAAAAGAAAACTAATCATTTACACAAACAAAAATGACGATGATAATAATGATGATGATGAAAAAAATACACCTGTCCATATTAAGAGAGAATGCAATGTAACATTGATGTTGATAATGATTTTTTTTTGTGTTGTTTTGTTTTCATTTTTGAAAGAAAAAGATTTAAATGGCCTCTGAAACAAAACAAAACTTGAAAAAAATTGGCCAAATTTTCAATTTAAAAAAAATTACTTCCGATAAATTTTCTCTCTCCCTCTCACTCTGTCAACTTTCTCAATAAATCATAATCATGACCTTTGTTGCGGTGTAAAATAAAAATCATTACGACTATGAAATCATTACGTCATTATAATTAGCATTGTTTTTTCATTCATTCAATCAATTTATTCCGGTTTTTGTTCAAAAGATTTCATTATTCAAAAAACAAAACAAAAAAATCAATTTGGTTACAGAAAACTTTATTTCATTTTCATTCGTTTGTACTTTTGTTTCCTTAATATCATCATTAAAATGAAGAAAATTAATGAAAATATCATCATCATATCACTGGAAAATCATTCATCATGTTTTTTGTTTTGCTTTTATTGATTTTTTTTCTCATTACCAGAACAAAAAACAATCAAAGAATCTGATAAGAATAGAATAGGAAAACAACGACAACAAAAAACAAATAAAAATTTCAGATTACAAAATCCAGAAAAATAAAGATTACAAGAACAAAAAAAAAGAGTAATTATATAAATGAAATAAGATGAAAGATAAGTAAGATGTTGATGATATTATCAATCTGTGATTGATTGATAGATTCAACTATTAAATTTTTAAAAAAGAGGATTCTCTCTCTCTCTCTCTCTCTCTCTCTCTCTCTCTCTGGTTACTATTAGTAGATTAAATTTAGAAATTTAAGAAGAAAATTTAAGATGAAAGAAAAGAAGTCTGGTTAAAAACTTATCGACTTACAACAACAACAGAAAAAAAATCCTATTGGCACACAAACTTAAATTCATTAATAGATTCTCAGACTTGATCATTAATCTTGATCATCATCATCATCAGCTTCTTAACCCAATCATTCATCGAATATAAAGTTTTGAAATTTCAAAAAAAAAAACTAAAATCCAAATTAAATTTTTTCCTCTTCTTCGTTTTTTTACAATCAAAGATTCGTATGTTAAGATCGAAACACCTTTTTCGTCGTCGTCGTCGTTGTCATTTCTCATGACGATTTTCATCATCATCATCAACCATTTGGGATCCTGTATGACGATGGTGATGAAAAAGGATGATGGTGGGGGAAGAAAAAATAAAAATAGAAACTAGACTTTAACATTAACAGCCATCATCATCAACGTTTGATTCTGAATTTGTCTTCGTCGTCGTTGTCGTAAAAAAAAGCTTTGATGTTTTTTTTTTTTTTTTTTTTTGAAAATCGAATAATAATGATGAATGAATGGCATAAAAAAAACATAACAATCATCATTGGGAAAAAAATATTACCATCACCATTATTATGATAAATTTCTCTCAATTTAGCATTTTCATTTTTACTTATTTCATCATAACAATCGAAAACAAGGATAATAAAGGTAGAAATAGGTAATAATAATAATAAGATATTAAAGATATTATAAGATGTATATAAGTAAAACAAGAACAAAAATCCAAATGAAAATTGATCAAAATTGAATATTGAGAAGAAAAAAAAACTAATTGAACAATGATCATTCATTTTGAAAATCATCGACAACAACAACAACAACCATCATCATATAATTTTGATGGATTTTCTTCATTTCATTCATTCACTGAATATATCATAGATTTCTTTCAAACAATGATGACGATTGAAATGAAACAACCCAACCATCAAGTTTATTACATTTTGATGATTCATCATCATAAACATTTTTTTACAAAAAGATTTGAACCAAAAAGAAAAAACAAACATCAACAGATGATGTAATGATTTAATTACCCGAATAATAAATTAATTGATGATGATGATAATTCAAACAAGGAATAATTCTTGTTGTGGCTAGTTGTTGTTGATGATGTTTTCGAAACAAAGCAAAAGAAAAAAGAAACCAAAAAAAAATGGTCCATATGGTGATCATCAAATTGAATAAAGAAAGATTTCTTTTTATTGATAAAAACAAAAT